TTCTACATGGAAGAACCAAGCACATAGACGTTGGATTTCACTTTCTAAGGAAGCTCACAAGAGATGGAATAATTGATTTTCTCTACTGCAAAAGTGAAGATCAGATTGCGGACATAATGACCAAGCCATTGAAGTTATTCACGTTTCAGAAATTAAGGAAGTTACTTGGAGTCTGTGCAGTTGATAAGTCCTATTAAACTGAATGTTTGAGAAACTTTCAGTTTAAGGGAGGAATTGTTAGAAATATTTACCGTTATTAATTAATTAATGGAGTTAGTGGAATAATTAGTGGAGCAACTAGTGGAGTTAGTGGAGTTGCTAGTGGAGTTAGTGGAGTTAGTGGGATAGTTAGTGGAGTTGGTTTCAACTCTATAAATAGATTAATTTCATGTTATGAGGAATGTCAGTTTTACAAAGAAATAAACATTTTGTCCTTTGCTTCTCTTATTATTTGCCTCAATATTTGTATCACTCCCATGCTCTTTTATGGACTTATTTTACTCTTTATTCCACATTTCTCCCTTTTCTCGTCTCGATTGATCTCTAGTTTTTATCGTTTCCGTAGTTTACGTTGCCATATGGATATTTTGCTATATACATGCTATTGTTTAACTTGACCTTGTGCTATTTCTTTATTGCTTAATTTCCTTTTGATTGCCTAAGTCGCTCCCCTCGGCGATTCTTTTCTGACAGGCTTGCTACATGTGCATTAATATAGCTAACTGCCTTTGTTTTGTCATAATTTTTGCATTTGCTTGCTTTGCTTTTGTTGCGGTTTTTCCTTTGCTTCGGAGGCATTACTTGCTCTGCTCTATTTTCTCTTCTGTATGAACAAGACTTGAATCACTGCTTGTTTGATGCCTTGAGTTGTTATTGAATCTGTCTGCATTTCACTTTTGTATTTCAAAGACTAGAACAATGGCTTTATGGAGCCTTGAGCCATCATGGTTATCTTACTTGGGAGGCTCGTATGAAAGTTTAGCGGCCTCTGCACAAGCGTAAGTCCATCTATAAACTTCTTCTTGTCTTTGAAGTTATTGTTAGGTTCCATTTTAAGTTCAAACGAGATATGCTTCTTGCATGCTTGCATATTAGCACGAGGCAATTGAGCCCAAAATAGCGCATCGAGATATAAAGTCAAGCAATATACTCATTGATGATGACTTCAATGCTAAACTATCTAATTTTGGTCTGGCTAAGTTGCTCGGTGCAAGAAAAGTCATATTACAACCAAAGTTATGGATTCCTTTGGATGGGTATTTATATCAGGCATCCAATCTCAATTGAAAAAAGTCTCTTTTTCCTTACTGCTTTCTGTTTACAAGCTCTCTAATTAACCTAAACTTGGCTCTTCTTTTTCTGACATTCTCTGTTTTTCCCCTTTTTTAACCCATATAGATATGTAGCATTTGAATATGCAAATAGTGGCCTCCTAAATGAGAAGTGTGAGGTTTATAGCTTTGCGATTGTGTTTTTGGAAGCCATTACTGGAAGAGATCCTGTAGATTATGGTTGCTCTGCACCTGAGGTATGCTAGATAGCAATGTTCGAATATATATACACATGTTTGTCTATAAATATCAAAAGTTTTGGCTGAAGAATTGGCGTACTTTTATTAATGAGTAAACTGGATTGTTTAAAATTAAAAATTCAGATAAAAATTGTCATGAATAATATGAAACTGCAATTCGCAATCTTGAGCCATAATCAATGACAATCTATACTTTATCTACTTTCCCTTCCTCTGTTTTCCAATGTTTTCTTGAACCTACAGTATCCAAGTTTGATATAGAAGTTTGAAAATACACATCATGATGATTGGTTCTGAGTATAGAAGATCTTCTCAGCATTTTGAAAAAGATTCATATCTTTACTATCTTGATTTCCAGTCATTTGCTGTTTGAAATTGACCAATTACGAGGACATCTTGCCACTCATGTTGAAATTGACTCTATGTTTTGATTTAGATTTTATTTTCATAATTTCTACATTCATATTGAAGCCTGAATCCTTTTCATCTAATAATCTGGTTACAGGGTGTTCATCCATGCGATAAGAGAAGCATCAATCAGTATCAGTGTCTTTTTCTTGCAATAGATTTTTCACTGGCAAGTGTTTCAAATCTCTGCTACCAGTCATTTAGGGTGATATAGTGTTATCATTGGTCATGGACCAGATATTTCAAATAGTTTTTTCCTTACATATGATTGGATCTTGAATCTTGATTTATGTTTAGATAGAAAGTGATGAGGATACTTTGTGGAAGGCAAATGTTAGGGAGACAAAAGAAGAAGTTGCAGTTAGAGGAATGAACTTCAAGAAATAGTAAACCACTTTATTGTTATTGCATTAGAAGTTGAACTTTAATCGCAACCACAAGTTTGTGTTCAAATGCACATAGGCTCGCACTTGTCATCTGTTGAAATAGATTGCAGTAGTTTCAGTTTTGAATAAGTAACCTCTGCTCAGGAGTACTTTAATAAAGTTTTTTATTTTTGGCCATCTTGGTCCTTATTGCTTGGTGACAAATGCATATGATAGAATGAGGCTTAGTCACAAGGTTGATTGGGAGTTAACCTTGGACTATGATGCAAAACATGGCTCTCTCTCTCTCTCTCAACCATTGTTAATTCAAGGGAAGATTAAATACTCATATGCATATTTATGAGTCTTTATACAATATAGCTGCATATCTGTGAGTCATTGTACAATATATAGATATAGGTAGCCATAGTTATGCCATACTGTCTATAACATATGTATTTAGATTGGTCATGCATAAAAACATGTGAAAGGTTCGACCCATCCACATGAATCATTTAGGAAGATTCTTGTGAACGAGATTGATTATTTTCTGCATTACCTTCTCTAGAACACTCCTCTGAAAAACATATATCATGGATGCAGGTTACTGACACGAAGAGAGAGAGAGATGGCTATTGTTACCCATGGTGGATTCTTGTTTCATACACTATCCACATTTGGTAATGACTGTCACTCTTCAGTCAAGAAAGAAATCGCTCAGCAGTAAGTTCTCGTGCTATTAGTATCTATCTCCAAAAACTTTAAACTCCATTTGGATGATGTGCTATTGTTATATCTGATCGTATTTTGGCGCAAGTATTGATTAAAGCTTGTAAGCTGTGAAGCAAATCGGATGGTAGACTATTTAGCTAATGTATGGGATGCTAACAACAGGATATCTTTTATTATGATGTTATGCTCCACCATTTTTTAGTTGCAGCAAGATGGCTGTTTGGGGATTTTATTCTCGTTTTGTGTCTCAATATGATTGTATATTATTTTAAAGTTCCTTTTATGCATAAAAAATTATGAAAACTACAAAAGCTAAAACTGTAGCTTATTTTCACTATTAAATAAAATAACAAAAACTGCAAAGATATAGATACACTTTTATGTAACTTTTCATATTTAATATCTGAATTTAAATAATTAAACATGTATGGACAAGATTGAAAATTATCACGCGCGTGGTGTCATCCCCCTGGTCTATTCTAAAGTTGTTAGTATTTCGTACGAAACGAAATCGAATCTCTGCTTTGGTGGGATCGTCATCGTATTATGGGAAAATAAACGAAAATGCGTTTTAGGCTTGATGTGACTGCAGTTGGGAAAGTACATGAATCCATGGCCGAAAGGATAATATATATATATAAATATAATATATATACTAGTATAATTAACAAAAACATTTCATCAGCTTCCAGAAGGGGAAGTTTCAGATTCCTTGAAGACAAAAACACGAGAAGAAGATACTTTTTTTTTTTTGTCAAGCACGAGAAGAAGATACTTGGAGGGATCTAACTGCAGTTTACAAGGAATTCAATAAGATTTTTCACGTAAATTTGTCAGAAGAATATGCACATTTGGATGTTGAAGGAGGTCAGTATGAGAAAAGAAAGGTGGCAGTTTATTTAGAGTGAAGTGACACGTGTATTCCAGGTGTCAAAAAAGTTAACGAGGAAGCACGCCTCAAAATGTGAAGCCAAGTGGTGTAACGAAAGGAAGAAGACATCTTACTTAAAGTCTTGAGGCCATGCACATACAATGGTAAACAAATACCAACCTACAACAACAAAAGGGTTTGGAATCTTGGCCGGATAAGATAAACACTGAGAAAAGCGAGCGTAGGAGACGCGCCGCCGGGGGAAAAACCCCGTCCTTTCTTGTTTCGGAGCATATGCCACCGGAGTCAACTTGAACTTGTCGGCAAATTGTTATCATCCAATTATTTACTATAATTGCGGACCCAAGCTTCTGCAGGTGTTGTCTAAGGAGTTCTAGTCTCCTTCCCTAATTTCTACAAGTCATGGAAATAAATCGAGTAGTTCCCTATTAGTTTTCAATAACGTGTCAATTGTTTGGTATCAGAAGCATTATTGTTCTCTATTAGGAAAAGTTCATCATGAAATGTGTACTTATGGGGTCATCATCATGATGAAATCGGAGTCGCTTTGTAGCATGATATTTACATGAAGAAGCGTAGGTGAAATCAAGAGAAAGATTAGGATTCCGAGAAGACGGGTGCCTGCGAAATTTTCGTGAGAAGCTCAACTTGTTCGCTTAGAATTGGACATTCACATGGATTATTCACAGTTTCAATTTCAATCTCAGACAAATCGATAAGAATCCTAGGTTCCAGAAATATGCTCGAAAGACGGGCAAACTTCACAAAAACTTTCACTCTCGTGAACTTCTCCAAATGGCTATCTTACCAATATCATCAAGATGAAATTTTTCGAAAACTATATGCCTAGAAGACTGCTAATTCAAACCCATGGGATCATCCTGCAGTAAACACTACTACTTACCAAAAATTTCCTCAATTATGATTATACTTAATTTTAGTTGACTTGACTAAGTTCTAAATTTTTTGACAGCCCAACAAAGTCCTAGTACACCTCTTGACCAATGGAGAAAAAAATGGAGATCCAAAAGTAGAAAGCAAGTAGTGCTGCATTAAGTACAAAGGATAAACGCAAGAAATGACCATGAGTGAGAGAGAGAGAGCATTTAATGCATTCTGCAACTTCTTGGCGTACACAGCATTTGCCTGTTTACCTGACTGACCGACCGACTGACTGACATTTGTATGTTCTCCACTCCCTACCTACATTCCCTGCTTCCTTCACTTCCTCACTCTTTTTATCTTTAGCAAGTCTTCTTCACTCTCTCTTCCTATCAGCTTTCCTGCTCTTCTGATTCATTCTCTTTAAATTGATTGCCCTTTCCCTTTCATTTGCTCACAACTCTTGAAAATTTCCTTATACAATCTTTTCTGAGTCCAGCTACCAATGAACTCACCACTCCACCAAGAATCTGTAGAGAATGGAAGTCCTAAGCAGGTAATACCAATTCCCCTGTTTTCTGAATTTGGCCATTTTAATTCTTCCATTTGTAAGAGTCACTCCACCAATAACCAAAAGGGTTCACTACAATTTGCTGAGAATGACTTGTCATTGTCCACAGCATTGACGGAGGTCGGTGAATGACCCACTGTTAGATTTTCTAGTGGAAAGCCGAAGATAAAGTGTGTAGCTTTTTTTTGTTCTATGGCAAATTTTGCTGCAAGGACACAGCTTGCATCAATAATATTAGTAGGACAAGAATGTGATGATGCATTTTTGGTGCCTTAGAATTGGGGATGGGGCATTATGTATGTTCTGAGTGGTATTATGACCATTCTGCCTTTCCAAAAATGCAAGCTTTGCAAATAGAGTGTTTTTTGCCAGTTCAGCTGAAGTTGTCAATATAAGTGAAGTCAAGGCTGAATGAGTGAGGCCGGATATTATGGTTTTTTCATAGTACATTATATGGCTGGTGAGTTTTTTTTTTTCCGCTTATATTTCCTTTAAATGATGATGCCCATATCAGATGAAGTGAATTACCTCAATCTTCAAGTACTAAGGAGTGAGGACGTGGAAGTTGCAATAAATTTCTGTTGGATTCGTGAATGATGGGGGATGATCATTTGAAAAACTAGAAATTTATCTCCTCTTTCCACTGGAAATTAATTCATGGACTTCATCAGAAGAGAAGGACATTGGCTTTCATCTACAAAAGATTTTTTTTGCTTTTAAATTTGTGGGTTTAACATTTTTTGAACTTGGTCCAACCTTTTCTCTGTCCTGAATCAGAACTTGGAGAAGGCATCATGCATTTCTGCACTCACATTGGCTTATCAGAGCCTTGGAGTTGTTTATGGTGATCTCAGTACTTCTCCTCTCTATGTTTACAAGACCACATTTTCTGGAAAGCTTAGGGTTCATGAGGATGATGAGGAGATTTATGGGGTGCTGTCCTTCATCTTCTGGACGTTTACCCTTATTGCTCTTTGCAAATACATAATCATTGTCATGTCTGCTGATGATAATGGAGAAGGTATAGTTTGTCATCCTCTCTGGTCCTTTTTTATGAGATTCTTTAGAGATTCAAGTAAACAAAAAAACTTAGTACAACCTAAAAATTTGGCTTACATAATCAAAGTAGTATCAATTATTTAGGAATCTGAATAAGAAACTTATTTACTAGAGAATTTTGTTCTTGAGCTATTACTGTCATGAACAAGTTCGAATGTGTTTTGCAACTAAAGCGTTATCCTATTCTCCTTTCCTATTGTTAGAGCTTCGAGACCATTTCAGTTGGATATTGTCCTACGTCTCGCATATTACTATTTGCCCAAACATTTCCACGTTCCATTTTGTATATGCTTTGGAGGCCCAAGTGTCTGTACACTTTCATTTTGACCCTATAGAGAAGATGCCTGCATCACCTTTTTGTGACTTTTTCTTTGGTGCAGGAGGCACTTTTGCATTATACTCTCTACTGTGCAGACATGCAAGACTTAGTATTCTTCCCAATCAACAGGATTCGGATAAGAAATTGTCCTCTTACGCAACAGAAGGGTCAGCAGACACTTGGGATAGCGCTTTTTTGAAGTCTTTTGCTGAGAAGCACCAAAAGTTTCGGAATATACTCTTGATCTTTGTTCTTCTGGGGACTTGTATGGCCATTGGTGATGGCATATTTACTCCTGCAATATCAGGTAACTTGTTGTAGGCTCCAGAATACAGTCTCATAAGTTGTTAACTGGTGGAATTGGTAGTGAACAGACATTTCCTATATCCAACACCTGAAAGCGAACTGTAGCCTTAGATGTCTCAATATTACCCATCATCTTTTCCTACAGAATGTTTGTTTCTTTTTTCAGATTGTAGCTATCGTAAATAAAGTTGTGATACATTTTTATTTTCAGTTCTTTCAGCTGTTTCGGGCGTTAAAATTAAAGCCTCAGAACTTCATGAGAGTGAGTCATTCTCAATATGTTAATTTGTAGATCTTTCTAGGGGTTCAATCAAATTTGAACTTTCTTTTTGTCCATTCTCACTACTCTATCTCGTGCAATATATTGATTCCAGATTATGTTGTGGTGATCTCCTGCGTCATTCTGGTGGTACTATTTTATATTCAACATCATGGAACAAGTAGGGTTGCTTTTTTATTTGCTCCAATTGTTATAGCATGGCTGCTCTGCATCAGCAGCATTGGTATGTATAACATAATCAGGTGGAACCCACACATATATCAAGCTCTATCTCCAATTTACATGTTGAAATTTCTAAAAGAAACAGGCTGGGAAGGTTGGGTGTCTTTAGGAGGAGTAGTTCTCTCAATTACAGGTATTCCCTTCACTCTTCTGATATACTCTTTCTGGTTGGAAAAGTTCATTAAGACTTCACATTATTGAATTCCTTTCACAGGCGTGGAGACAATGTTTGCTGTCCTGGGCCATTTTTCGGCATTGTCAATTAAGGTAAACTATCAGTCTGAGGACTCTGCTTTCCGTGACTGCCAATTTGAGAACAAGAAGGTAATCATAACATTTTCTAATTTAACATTTTGAATAAACCTGCAGGTGGCTTTTATATTTCTCGTATATCCATGTCTGATTCTTGCATATTTGGGTGAGGCTGCATATCTCTCTCAGCATCATCACGATATTGAAAGCAGCTTCTACAAGGCCATACCAGGCAAGATGTTTATGAGGGCTTCCAAGTAACTGGCTATATTTCTCTGTTGTGTCTTCTAATTATGCTACTGATCTATGTACAGAACCCGTATTTTGGCCAGTGTTTATAGTGGCCACATTAGCAGCAGTTGTGGGAAGTCAAGCAGTAATATCTGCTACCTTCTCCATTGTAAGCCAGAGCTGTGCGTTACATTGTTTTCCGCGTGTGAAGATTGTCCATACATCAAGTAAAATATATGGTCAGATCTACATTCCGGAAATCAATTGGATATTAATGTGCCTATGTTTAATTGTGACAATCATATTGAGAGACACAAACAGGATCGGACATGCTTATGGTACAAACTTTGACCATAAATGCTTAAGTGTCACATGTAAACCATTTATGTCCAGACTGACCATAGTCTTTCATGTCCTTGCTCTGTGTTTTGGCAGGACTATCGGTAACATCTGTTATGTTTGTAACAACATGTTTGATGACCCTGGTGATGGTAATAGTATGGAAGCAAAAGGCTGTAGTGGCTGCTTCCTTCTTAGTAATTTTTGGGTCGATAGAGCTCCTGTACCTGTCAGCAGTCTTCTTTAAGGTCCTGGATGGTGGTTGGATTTCACTACTTCTGTCGTGGACTCTCATGGCCACAATGTTCATCTGGAACTATGGATCCCTCAAGAAGCACCAGTTTGATTTGGAGAACAAGGTTTCAATGGACAGGATATTGTCTTCAGGACCTAGTCTCGGAATGGTTCGAGTTCCTGGAATTGGGCTTATTTACACCAATCTAGTGACAGGCATACCAGCCATTTTTGGGCACTTTGTGACAAACTTGCCTGCTTTTCATGAAGTGCTAGTTTTTGTATGCGTAAAGTCTGTTCAAGTTCCCTATATCAGCGAGAAGGAACGGTTTCTAGTAACCAGGATATATCCAGAAGACTATGGTATGTACAGGTGCGTCATCAGATATGGCTACAAAGACCTACAACAGGAAAACTATGATTTTGAGAACAGACTGGTGTCTGAAATTGTCAACTTCATAGAAACGAAAGGAGAAAATGAGCCAACACTAAGGATGCAAATTTGCACATGTTCTGGAAACTCTGATGATGAAGCCGTCGATGTTTCTGAGCAGATACTCTCCTATCCAAATCAGGGAGAGACAACGATGCAGTCTAAAAATGTCGGAGTGTTGATTTCACAAGATGGACATTGCAAAAGACCTCACCTGAAGGACGAATCACTACACATACTGAGAGCGAGGGAAGCTGGCATGGCTTACATCCTGGGGCATTCTTATGCCAGGGCAAAGAAATCATCTTCGATTTTCAAGAAAGTAGCCATTAACGTAATTTATGCTTTCTTAAGCAGGAATACTAGGCGACCTGAGGTGGTGCTGAATGTGCCTCCTACATCATTGTTGGAAGTGGGTATGATTTACTATGTCTAATTTCTGACAGAATCTGCAGAGAGAAGCGTCAGGATATGCTACATTGCGACTGTGCTGCTGACTTTTGTGATGGAAGCTGGTGAACAAAATGTTACCCAAGTTGAAGTTTCCTCATCTATGAGCTTCAGGTTAAAAATTTAGCACTGCTAAATGTACTCTGTATATACAAGTGCCAGAACATGATCAAAAAGCAGTAGATATACATTTGAATACACAAATTTTCGTATCTTTTTGAGTTTGACCACTGATTGTCAAAAAAGAAATACAACTGATAATTCTCGTCATAAGGTTGGAGGCTCGGCCACATCCAAAATTTATTGAGCCATTCAAAACTAAAATCACTGACCATAGTCTTTTGTACTTCGTTATGCATAATCTTGTATATCTCATTAGTGTAGGTGCCCATGTTTGCTCATAAAAAACAAGCTAAACCCTTAATGGGTAAGATCTAAAATTGTTTCTCACTAAAAGTGATTATCTACAAAATCAAGCTGCGGAGATAAGCCTCTCAAATCAATGATTAGCTGGATAGATAATTGAAGTGCCAGAAATGATCAATTAAGAAGAGCCGTGTTTTTCAGTTTCTTTTTATTATGTCAATTGCAAATGTATTACGGATATTGAATTTGGAACTTCAACAGTATTCTCCCATAAAAGGACATCAGCTCCTTGAAGACTCTAAAAATTGAGTAGACCAACGTTGCGTTGCAAAAGATTTTCTTTTTAAAAAAAAAAAAAATTTAAATTTGGTGGTCCAGATATCATTTTCTGCACCAGCAAATCTGGTTTATAAGCTATTCATATCATTAAAGACTTGAAGAAATCAATGATTTGTGTGTGTCAAATTGTTTTATGTGATTCTCACTTCATGATCAGCCACAACCCCCCAACAAAAACACTTTGCACCAAAAAATTCGGGTATGCCTTTCGAATTGCATAGCCAAAGGCCCCATCTCTTAACACAGATGACAGAGTTGTCATCATCAAGGCCAACACAGACAAATTTAACAGTGAATTAGTAAAAAAGATCTAAAATTGTCAGTCGCACTCATTTGGTTGGCTACATTCAATGTGGCTTTCAATTAAGAAGAATAGACGAGCAGTGGCCGATTCCCTGCAATAAACCCTGCGTCCAAGGATGGTTGAACTTGAAAGTTCAAACTCGGAAACCCAAACAATTTCTTTGACTGATCAATTGTGACGGCCGGAGCTTCCCTTGGACCCAAGGCAACTAGTAACACCTACTAGTATTTGATAAAAATCAGTGCGTGGAAGGACCAACGCCAACTGATCTGATAGACGCTAGGAAGACTTTGAGTCAAGGTCCTCAACACTCACACTACACGGACTTGGTAATCTGATCTGATACATTACGCGGCTGATTTTCTTTCCCAACAGCTGGGCATCACTTGAAGCAGCAGCTGTAATGAATGAATGAATTCAAGCGAAGTAGCAGCACGTTTTCTTGATTTCTTTCCCAGTATTATAAAGCGTATGTATTCTTTCAATAAATTGACGACATTATAGCTACTTTCAAGCAACATATGGTAACTTAAATTGCTTGATTTCTCCACTTAATCATGAGTTTTTTGATTTTGTATTCTTCTTCAACCACCAAAGAAAGTGAACGTTAAAATCATTATAGATTTGGTCGGTGTAAATATAAGCCACAACTCCTCATTGATTGATTTAAGGGAATCAATGCAGATTTAAGTAAAAATTAAGTTAAGATTTGGGCTGTAGCCTGTAGGAATAGGGGCTACACTTTTGCTTAATTTCTCCTCCGTCGGCATCAGTCACACCCACACACGCCCCTTTGTTTCCCATTCTTTTCGACTTCTTTACCTAGCCAGCTTCACAAGCAAAGAATAACGAGTGTTCTCCCGATATTGAAGACTTCAAGTGGCAGACATGTCACAAATTTTTCCACGTGGACTTTTGAAATGCAAACCACACACACACACACACACACACACACACAAAAGAAAAAAGAAAAAAGACTTCTAGTTCTTCTAATGATTTAGATCCCCCAATCCAAGACTTAACACGTGGACGCTCGAGCATAGTTCATCGAGTTTTGTACATGTGTCTAGACTTAATAAATGTGGTTGCTCTTTTGCAATCAAGAAAAAATTTCGTCGGTTGATGTTTAATGATCCACACTAATTATTGCTAACTCTTACGAGTAAATCAAGATTGATTATTAGAATAATTTATACGAGGTACCGTCTAGGTGAGAATGCCCCACGCACGGTGTTGATCTCACTGTTGGAGGTTCATTTCCTCTTTACCCTCCCTCATAAGTCATGACCAAAACCACATGAAAAAGAAGAGCATATTGCACAGAGAAAAAGGTTTAATTTCTTGGAGAGTGTAAGAGGAGCAAAAGACTGATACATCAACCGGTAACATCCGTTGAAAATTAAATGGCACCTAACTTGACAACTTAGAGAAAGCTACCACACAAATCTCTTTTCCTGCAAACTCTTAGAAAACCACTCCTGGGCTCAGCTCTCAATTAGACTAGGAAGTGAACCGAATTGGTGTTTGCATTTCTGCAATGGCCCAGACGTCCTCCCAAGACAACAGAATTCCTCTTTGAAGTATGAAGCATGCAGGGCTCAGCCGTAACAAACTGCAACCTCTCCAGCCATCCCTGACAGACCAAGACAGGAAGATCAAGCTATCTATATCTCCTGCTTCTCTAATCACGAGAGAGACAGAAATGTTGGAGGAGATAATGCCGATGGATGGCGGCATCGTGAGGAAAGAACTTGAAGCTTCTCAGGCAAGGATCACTTTCCTGGAGAAGGAAAATTTGGAGCTGAGGCAAGAAGTAGCCCGCTTGCGAGCACAAGTGACTACGCTAAAAGCCCATGATGTCGAGAGAAAATCCATGCTCTGGAAGAAGTTGCAGAGTTCCACGGACGCCAAGATCACAGACAGATCTCAGCACAAGCAGACTTTCGCGGTGGAGAAGCCAGAGCCTAATCTCGCATTGGAGGAGAAGAAAGGCGCGAGAGAAGATCTCATAAAACCTGCAGCTCATAAAGAAAGACAAGCCAAATCAGTCAAATTAGCATTGCCGGGGCCAATACCTGAATCAAATGGAAATAGGTTGTTGCATGCCCCTGCAGCAGCGCCACCCCCTCCCCCACCACCTCTACCATCAAAACTTCTTGGTAGATCAAAAACTCTCCGTCGCGCTCCAGAGGTGGTGGAATTCTACCGAGCACTTATGAAAAGAGATGCCCAGAAGGAGAACAGAGCTGGTTCAACAGGACATCCGCCAATCCTGAGTCCAAAGAACATGATAGGAGAGATCGAAAATCGATCCACTTACCTCTTAAATGTGAGCGCAGTAACATCCATTTTCATCACCTTTTTATATCAGGAAGTTGGCATGACTCCTATTAACTGCACTTGAGCACAACTTAATTGGATTTTCATTGTTGTTTTATCAAAATTTACAAATCTTGATTTTTTTTTTTCGAGGATTTTATTTTATTTTTTACTATACTACATGTCATGTCCTCGTGATGCAGATAAAATCAGATGTGGAAACGCATGGGGAACTAGTGAGTTTCTTGTCAAGGGAAGTGCAGGATGCAGCATTTGCAGATATTTCTGAAGTGGAATTATTTGTAAAATGGCTAGATGGGCAATTATCCTGCCTGGTCGATGAGAGGGCTGTTTTGAAACATTTTCCGCAGTGGCCAGAAAGAAAAGCAGATGCACTGAGGGAAGCCGCTTGCAGCTACAGAGAAATGAAAAACCTGGAATCTGAAGTCTCGTCATACAAGGACAATCCGAAACAGCAGTTGACAGAGTCCCTCAGAAAAATGCAGGCATTGCAAGACAGGCGAGAATGTACACACGCTTGTGGTTACTACAATCTGCTACTTTTTTAGATCCCTTGAAATTATAACATGTTTAAACTGATCCGAGCGCAGATTGGAGAAAAGCACTAACAACATTGAAAGGGTGAGAGAAGGCATGAGCAAGAAATACAGAGAATTGCACATTCCTTGGGCATGGATGCTGGATACAGGAGTGATTGGACAGGTAGGTGGAAACACCGGAGAGCTTCAGTGAAAAGCTTTTAGTAGACACAGTAGTCATATTACTACTAATCTTTCTTCACCTGATAATGACATTTCAACGGCTGAATAATAAAAATACAAAAATTATATACCGCCTAATTAAGATTTAAGACTAGCGAACTCCTGCCACTTGACTTGACAATCAGTAATTAAGAGACGACACGAAAACCGTTTGCAATTTGCCCTTCTTTTAACCCCATTCCCATCGCTTTTCTCTAAGCTACGGGGCTTCTGAATTCTAATTTACAAAACATGTGATTATTAATGATTGATTGTTTTAAAATATAGTCTGTATTCTTTGCAGCTAAAGTTCAGCTCAGTGGCGCTGGCAAGGCAGTACATGAAGAGGATAGCTAAGGAACTGGAAAGCATTGGATCCGTCCAAGACGACGACCTACTAATCCAAGGGGTTCGCTTTGCCTATCGAGTTCACCAGGTGTTTAGTGTTTATATACCCATCCTTAACCTCCCAAGATTCCTATGGAATGGAACTTCCCCTTGCTAAACTTTTGCTGGGACTTTCTGATTGATTTTACCTTCCGCCACGTTCTATTCTACACTAACAATCAAAATCGTCCAGTTTGCAGGCGGTTTTGATGCAGATACTCTGCTCGCATTTGAAGAACTACGGAGATTTAGTACGACCGGCCCAACACAATAGTGGAATTACAAGCTTCTCTATGAATGCAGATTACAACCGAATGTCGCTAGATAATGCGAGATTTTTTGTGCAAGTGTGATCCATTTACAGAACGATTGAAAGCGCTGTATCGCTACCATCTCGCAAGTGCAATCCATTTGCAGAATTACTACCACTGGTACTACTCTCTCCGCTTAGAGACTTCACTAGGACCATGTAAAATATTGACGCAGAAGTTCTTAAACAAACGCTATTAAATTTTTTTTATTTTTTATTTTTTGCTACCTCCTCATTATTATCTTCTTTGCTCCACCAAGCCCAAAAGTTTAATCGAATGATTTTGACATTTACTCCGTATTCTGAACTAACAAATCATCATGCCCCTGCTACTAATTTTCTAGTGCTTCCCATCCGAAATAACATACTAGACGTATTTCCCATCCAAAAAGATATATATGAGGATCCATGATGGCCTTGGAAAAACCAACCAACCAAAAAACAATTTCTTCTACCATACGAGAAGAGATTCGCAGTAAATGTA